TAAATAATAAATTAAATTGGATAAAAAGTCACTAAAAGTCTTCAATTATCTTAAAAATCAGTAAGGGGCACAAAAGAACTCATTTACCATGACATAATTTACTTTTCAAATTTCATCTCATAAAAGTACTTCCTTTAAAAATTTGTAAATAAATTTCCAAATTGCTCATGTTCTAGGGTTCGTAACCTTAAATAACAAAATGTATTTTGGTAACCATTCATATTTAAGTGCCTCCCAAGCCAAATAAAAAAAAAAACTAATAGCTGTTCAAGGCTGGGAATGCGTAACTACTAAATGATGGAAATGACTCTAATTCTGTGTAGCAACCTTTAACAACTAGGAGTATATTGGTCGTTTCAGTGTTCCCAATTCTTTGTTGGTTCTAACAACTTATATTACAAAAGTACATGTAATTGTTCAAGATTCCAAACTTGAATAAGAGTAATCTAGAAATTCTGAACAAATTTTTTAGGGATGTAGCGTTTTTGGGATGGAACTAGAAAAGTGAACCTTATAGCATCAAGTGGAATATTTTTGAGCTCTTTAATAATATTGGTAGATAATCTAAGCAATTTTAATTATTTTTTTAAAATAATAGAAAATTTATTACCTGTGGAGTCCTTCTGAGCAAAAGCCTCGTAGGCGAACCAAGTTCATATGATGCATGGCACCGATTGTGATGACTTCTGTCCTGAATTCCTTCTCCCCGTGTGGCAGATGCCTCTCAAGCTTCTTCACTGCCACCAAGCTGCCATCCCCTAGGCTTCCCTTGTAAACTGCTCCAAACCCACCTGTTTGTCCATGGTATTGTACTAAAATGAGCTATGTTTTACATTTCATCCATCTATTTGTTGAAGCCAGTGTGTTTTTTTCTTTTTTTTCTTTTTTTTCTTTTTTTTCTGTTTTTTTTCTTTTTTGAAGCATCAACAAAGTTATATAGGCCGAAACATTATACCCTACATTTATACACTTGGAAAAAATACTAGATCTCGAAGTAATTTTACAACCCCCAAGATTTGGCGATGAGCCTCCTCAACCAACTTAACATCCAGCCTCAAGACACAGAAAATTTTCAAAAGCACTATATATGTGCCTAAAACGATAATGTTTTGAGGTTGGAAAGGGATCGTCCAAAACAAACTATCATGTCAATGAACTCGAATCTATAACTTTTTTTATTGATATTCTTCTAGTGAACCTAAGGGGATCCCATAATCACAAATCGAGAAAATCGTCTGAAGTAGATCTTTAGCCTAAAGGAATATGTTCATTACATAATATCATTTGAAAAAACCACATCATTGGTTTCATATTTTGTGACATTTTACAATGCCAAAAGACTTTCACTCCCGCAGGTAAAACCTTAAATCTTGGGGATTTTCCTCCACAGCCTGGTGATAAAAGTAAAACATGAAAGAAAGGAAAAAAAAACGCGTTGGTACTCTTACCTGTTAAAAAAAAGGAAATCTTGTTCTTTCGTTTTTGAAAACACTTGTGTGCTGATTCTAAAGTTGATGCCAAAGTTTTAGATATAACAATTCTTCTTAGTAGCTCTTTAGCCTTGGTAAATTACATTATAGTGGGCTTTGGGTGCATGCTATAAACCATCTTTCTAGGTTTAGAAAAATAAAAAGAAAAAAAAAGAAAAAGCAGACAAGGATTGCAAGTTGTAGTACTGAAGTTTAAAAGGAAAATTTACCAAACACAAAAGAGAAAATAATATTCGAAAACATCATTCTATTTTAAACTTTTAAACTTACCTTTCTTCTCCCAAATTTCCTCATGGATTCCAATAATTTTGAAAGCCAAATAAACCTAGTTATGACCAAAATATTCTCAGAAAACAAATATCTCATCTTACCAATCCCGAGCATCTCCGAGTAATTGGAGGTGGCAATTTGGAGATCATGGAAGGAGAAATTCACAGGAGCCCCAGGCATCAAAATCGCACTGCAATCTATTGCCGCCCTCAATAACCTCCTCCTCCGGACACTATGAAGCAGCAACAAGCACAGTAACCCAATCAACACTCCTGTACACAATGCAATCGGGAGTACTAACACCCTTTCCCTTGCAATCCTAGTAGACGATCCGCCACCACCACCACCTTCAGATGACCCACCTGACCCAGAGGTTGTTGACCCTCCCTCTGATCCAATCTTCACAAACATAGTTGCACCTGGGTCTTGAAACCCCCCAAAAAAGAGGTTTCTCAGTGTCCAACAATATGGCTTTGCCTCTGAGAGACCATAAACTGATGCCATGCAATTACAGTCCGACATGCATACCTCCCCACATGCTGTCCCACCTGAAACATTGCTGTAGTTGGCGATGATTGAGTCCCCAGCGAAGTAGTTTGTTTGTGGCAATGCATGCATCTTCATAAGCTGCCCGCAACTCACCTGATGGATGACGATGCAACCACGGTGTGGCTCCCTAGGGTCAACTGCAGCATATCCAGGGGTGCAGCCACAACTGGCATTGCTCTTGGGGCCATCGAGGCTGCATATGCCGTTGCCACAAGAGCCTGCCACTTCGCAGGGGCTCGAAACTGCGGCCCAGTCCACCACCCACTGGGATCCATTCGTTGTGTCCCATCTGTAGAGGCGGAGGTTCCCATCGTTCCCCAATGTGACTCTCCGGAAAACTCTCGAACTGTTGTTTCTTTCTTCATCATTCTCATTCTGGTAGATGTAGACAAGGCCACTGGAGAGGCGGCCATAACTGAGGCTGAAACTACCAGAATAATCAAGCTGAGCGACGACAGAACCAGTGGCATTTGAGATTTGTGGGCCTGACCAATAAGAGTAATTAGTAGGCATTTGAGGGGCATAGTAAGTGAGAGCAAGGTTGAGGGAGGTGGGTTCTTGCAACATTTCAAGGGAATAGTAGGTTTGGGATGATGTGGGGAGTGTGGTGAGGTAGAGGGACTCAGTGAGCTGCTGGCCTGGTAAGAGGGTGTCGGTGGGGGCTGAGAAGCTTTGCCATACAACCGAGAAGTTAAGAGTGCGCAGGACCAAGTTTCCCGATTCTGACATTTCCCCTGACTCCACACTGACATCCTTAGTTCCTGACATCCACACGACAGTGTCACCGTCCATCAGTTGCAGGTTGCCGCTGTTGTCCAACTCTACGACTGCATCTCTACTCACTGGAATTTTTCTGCTCCCCCACCATCACAATTGTTATTATGATTATCAGTATAAAAGATTGAAGTGATGCACTGACAGAGCCACATTCAATATGTTCATTTTGAATAGCACATTTTTCTTTTCTCTATCCACAATATTTTTTCCTCCAAATTTTTATTTCTCAAAAATGATAGGATGAGTGCAATGCTTTTAAAATAACATTCATATTTTAGCCGGGGATTTCTCTTACTGGGACCCTCAATTACTAAGTACACAGACCAAGGGGCTGCCAGCCCAGCCTATCCCAAATAAAACTTACCTTAAATACATGAGGGAGAATGATTAAGTGTGACTTTGGTTTTATGATGTGATCTCAACTCATGTTTTATTTATTCTAGAAAATCTGTAGTTTCAAAGCAGTTGGTTGTAATTAATATATTTTTTGGCTAGGCAAATTATTTTAATTCTTTTTGGTCACTCTCATTTATACCCTTAATTATGAAATTTATAACTCACAAATTATGCAAATCTAGCTGATCTACAAATACTTGAAAATTTTAAAAGTAGATAGTCTAGATACACTAATTTTAAGACTTGAAATATATTTCATATCTACATCTCTAGATTGAGATGATTAATTGGAAGGTTTTAACACATATACCACGTAATCCCTCCCTTACATTCATGGTGTTCGGCTCACACTAACGAAAACACAACCCACCCTCGCGCATCAGTGAAAATTTCAACATTTGATAGAAACCTACAGAGGGTCAGATCACAATCTTGCCAGCCTCTCCCTCTCCCTCTCCCTCTCCCTCTTAAAAATTCCTTATTTCCTCCACTTGGAAAAGCTAGATTCCTAGATATCAAGCTTAGTGAATTACCTGAGGTTGCCAACTAACCATGGATTCTTCAAATAGGGGATTTGGCTGCATGCATAATTATCCAATTTAGATAAGTTAGAGCAATCTGAGAGGCCTCATAACTCAGGAAGTTCAGAGGAACTTGGACTCATGAACTTCTTTCCTGGAAGGCCTGAAGGTTGAAGAAATTTTCCTGGGTAATATGGCCAACATAAATGTGAAACTTTTGCGTACATTAGCTAATGCGAGGAGAAGTGCCACTAGTATTGGGAGGAATCAAAATTTAGGGCTCAATTGCAAAAAAAAATCAGCGGACGTTGAGAGGGTATTGTAGAACCTTGAAAGCTAAATTTCGACCCCCTATGGGATTCAATTTCTACCCTTCAAACAATACCTGAAGAGAAAGCTATCAGGTTAGAAAGGCCTTTTAAGAAGAAGAAATCAAATAATGAGATGCCACTTCGCCCTCCATCTCAAATGGATTGCATTTTGCCCACCCAGCTCTATTTCTATGTGCGAGATCTTCTTCAATCTTTCAATTTTCTTGGATTATCGATCCAAGATATCGAAAGTGCACTTTTTTTATTATTTTCTGGCCATCAATCATAACCTTTCTTGTCTCTACTTTTATTATTCTAAACTTGCATTTCATATGCTATGATTTGCTCCATTTGTATCATTTTTTAAATTTTAAATTTCATAATTAGAACTAAAAATAGATTTTCAAGCTATCAGAAAGTTTCTTAACGCCAGAAATCTTCATAGATTTTTATATTACAAGGATGGTGACTTATGTAAACGTCACCCTTTGTATAAAAACCATACAAATTTTTATAGAGAACCTTATATATGCTCATCAATTTGAAAGGAAATGGAAGTATCGTGTTAATATTTAAAGGACCCGGTTTCTGTGCGGCCAAGCTCGCATATATAAAAATGCAAGTCACTTAATAAATCTATTTTTGAGATGGATTTTAAGATTTAATTTTAAAGACATATAATCTCTAATATGGAGATCATGAATATGAAAAATATAAATAAATTTTAAAAATTAGAAAAGTCATTTTAGTAAGAAAACATTTCGACCGTTAGTTTCCATTATTTTTAGATGGAACACCTACTTGCGTCCATCTTTAAGATGGATGCTTTACACTTTATGAACCGCATATGTAGAAAGCGGTCTAACCCACATGAAACAATTTTAAACAACACATAGTTGTGAGTTCACACAAGTTTATAGCCGACATGTGTGAGAGGGATGGAGATTTGGGTTTCTACCAAAATTTTCTTCCTCGGGTAGGTAGGTTTGATTTAGAAGTGGGCCATGCAAATTATGTCCAAGGTGATGGGACCACACATAATTTCAATTGCTTCAATTTTTAAAGAAGAAGATATTATGATGTTTGCATCGGCTTTTATCAAATATAAAAAAAAGCGTGATCCCTTGACCTTATATAACTTAAAAATAGAACAAAATAAATAAAAGACATGAAGTGAAAAAACAAAAGCCCCAATAGCATAACTAGTAGAGAAATTTATGCATATACCTATGAGAGATATGTTTTGCTTTAATTTCAAAATACCCATTGGAAAAATAGTGGTCTTGAATTGGAATGATTCCAATTGGGCAGAAGTTTAAATATTTTATCTCTAATGGATTTGTTTGTAAATTTCCCCAAATAATACATACGATCTAAGAGGTCCTCATGAACCATGATGATAAGGTTATCACCGTCCATCAATGAGAAGACATCTGCTGAGCTGCAGCCCATATCTCCATTTTAGTCTTTCACCCATCTCCTCTTCTGAACTGCCCACCATCTCTCTCACTCTCTCTCAAATTAAGCCTTTGGCTGGGCCAGCAGCAATAATACATGAGTTTGCATCACAAAGGTCAAGAGTTGGACTTTCTCTCCATAAAGATTTGAATGGTGCGCGGCAGCCCAAAAAGATTTTGGGAATCCCAACGAAACCCTCTGCGGTCCGGTGTTGACACCGGATAGCCAGAGAGCATTTGGATGGTTCAGCGGTAAGAATCGAACTTGAGATATATCATATCTAAATGTCAGTTCCTAACCACGTTAGTTGTTAAGAAATTTGCAGTTTGATTTAGAACCCTTCCAGTCAAACTGTAACCCACATGTACCCGATCCGATTTCTCCCCAATTTGGGCTCGGCTCAATACCCCTGTAAATAATTTAATAGGATTTTTTTTTTCCCTTAAAAAAAATTTGTTTGTAGAATGGTTTGAACTTTGAAGTTCTTAAATTTTGTTTGAACATTTTAAAATTTTTTATTTTCATTTATATTTTTCCAATTTTTTGTTAATTGGCTAAGTTAGCTTAGCCAAGTTACCGACTTGGCCAGTTTGACTCGAAACCCTAGGGAGCCAGTTCCAACCCACTCTAAACCGTAGGGTGCCGCTTCCGACAGACCACGCCAAAATTTTAAGCACCATAGACGCTAACATGCATAGTACAAGCCCCAAACCACATGCTCATGTGAATTTGAATTTCCATCCATTGTATATATATAGATATAAAAAAAGAGAGAGGTAGGTGTTGTCTCTTACCTGTTAGCGGTCCATACAAGTGTGCGTTCACCAGGAAGCCTTGCAAACCATATGGCGAGCTCAAACTGTTGGGGTGATGAGCTAGTGGGATGGAAACCAAAAGCGAATGTACCATTATCCGATATCCAAACACGGTTATCTCCCACACTCATCTTCGTACCAAGAGCGATTCCACCTCCAACCAAGCTTATGCTCCCATGCCAAACTACAATCAAAATCGCATAATAATAACGCAGCACAAGGAAACACACGTTCCCCATTCCCATAAAAAAAACAACACATGCACAGGATCCAAAAAGGGCGTCCCTGTTTTATGTTTTTATATCTCCCAAAGGGGAAAAGAGTTTGAGTGTAGGCTGATTATTTTCTATAGTGCCGTAGAGGCCAAAAAAAGATCAATCGTTTATTCTTTATGCAAAGAAAAAAAAGTATCTTATAGGGACCCGGTTTTTATGACGCATACTATTTTCATGCGGGCTCCCTTAATCACCCATTGTTTGTATCGATTTCGATCCAAATTTATAGTGATCCATGATCTACACTATGATGATCATGAATAGGAATCTTTAATTGTTGATGTTCATCTTAATTTAAAAATAGTTTTATTAAAAAAATTTCCTATCCATTGGATATTTAGTGAATGTTCATCTTAAAGATGGACGTTTGTGATTGTGCGGGCTAGTGAACCCGCTGACGCACAAAACACTTTTTCATATTATAGTTACAGGCAATGTGAATGGGAGGAGTGCGAGTCACTCGTGTCCCATGGTGGTTGAGCTAATCCCGTAGCGAAGAAAATAGAGGCCAAATGGTCGGTGGTCCCCCGCAGAAGGGCACGTGTAAAATCATCTCTCCTCCTTAAGATGGCAAAATAAGTAGGAAGAGGTCCCCTGAGAAGATGCGTGACCATGGACTACATATTTAAGATGAATGATAGATGGCAATTTTTTTTTAATACTTTTGTAATTTAAAATCTTTTTCTTTTCATTTTTGTTTTTAAGATCTCCTTTTTCTAAAAATTGGGGTCAAAGATCCCTCTTTAAGATGGATATTAGAGAAGGTACACCCATACACTTGAGTCAGAAACTCTCCTCAACCAAATGTTATAAATGTTTAGCATATCCATACCATTTACCTTATGCTTTCTATGTAATGGACTGCTGCATAATTCATTTGATCCAGTGCTCGCAAAGTCGGCCGAGTTACTCAGGCTCTGGCCCTTGCTGAGCCCAAGTAGTTCTGAGTTGGGTGTCCAACTCAGGGATCTCAAGCAAAATTTAAAAAATAATATAAACAGTCTTAAGAATAAAGAATGAATTTGGGATATGTTGTTTTATACTTTTTATCATTTTGGCCAAGATTGGAAAGTGTTATGGCAATAAATATTTAGTTTTACATTATTTTTTTTATCTTTTTTGGATTATTTTAAAAAAGAAAAAGTTTATATAGAACCCACATAAAAAATTTCACTAAAAGAAGTTGTTTTGATGTCCAAATATTCTCAAATTGATTATCTCGATATCAAGATGTATGGACATGAGAAAAAAATGGATTTCAAGCTTTCGAAATATTGCATCTTGTAACGCATTTTTTAACCCTTAATTATCAAGGTTTTCAAGTTTTTATAGATCTGCTCGATCTACACTATTTTTCAACCTTTAAATTTTATAATTAGAAATAAAAATATATGTTAAGGCTATCACAAAGATTTTCAGTATTGACACTATATTTCTTGACACTAGTTGAATGTGTGTTTTACTTTGATTGTTTAGAGCCTTGGCTCTATACAAACTAGACCCTTTTAAAAATATCCGTTGTCACAAGTTGATTTTTTAAAACGTGTTGTTTTACTATTTTTTTGAACTTATTTTGATATATTTTGCTTATCTTACTTTCAACATACATATTTTATTTTATTTTTAAGTTTTTTGCATTCTTATAATTTGTTAACCATTTTTTTGTTGCTACTGCTCGATACTACCTGGTCCGAGTTATACGGACTCGGTCGGAGTACTCGGATCGGGCATGGGCCAAGTACTCGGCCGGGGTAATGGTTTCCACACTGATTTGAACTTGGAGCGTCATAGATGGGCACGCTCCTAACTCCCCGATTTCAGGTCCAAAGGGCTAACGTAATTAGAACAAAATAAAAAACAATTTATATAAGTAAAAATTTCATGCTCACCTAGGGGCATACTGTCCATTTACCTGTAAATCTAGAAGTAATTTTAGAATCTCAAATTTTGCAGATGTAACCTTTACAAGCCGTAGACTAACCTCAAAAGAAATAAAAATAAAAATAAAAACTAAAATAAAACGCTGTTTGCATTTTAAAAGAATAATATCACAAGATAGAACAGAGACTGTTCAATTTTTTGAAGGCAAAATCTAAGTGTTAGAAAATTTAAAAATTTAAATTCTCTTTTGAAAATGATCATTTATTGATTCTTTAGTTGCTTCTAAAAGTTCGTAATTCAAAATATCCCTCAAAGTAGGTCTTCTACCCAAGAGTGTAAACACAAAGAGGATAGCATAATAAAAGAAGGAAAAAGTTTATATAGAATCGAGGCTCTAAACAATCAAATTAGTGACCACCTAAAAAATTTCACTCGAAGAGGTTGTTTTGATGTTCAAATATCGTCAAATTGATCATCTCGACATCAAGATACATGGACATGAGAAAAAAATCGATTTCAAGTTTTGAAAATAGTGCATCTTGTAACGTATTTTTGAACTGTCAATTTTCAAGATTTTCAAATTTTCGTAGATCTCCTCGATCTACTCTATTTTTTAAATTTTAAATTTTATAATTAAAAAATATATATATTTTAAGGTATCACAAAATTTTCGAGTATTGAAACTACATTAACAAACCGCACCAACATAAAAGAAAGTTATGGCGTCCTCCCGCCGTCCTCTCCCCAATATGGCAAACTGATGGATAAATGCTTTTATTATTCTGGTGTGTGTTTGTGATGGATAAATAAAGTGGTTGGAGCCTTGCGTCTATATATCTATCCATCAGAGGCCTCAATCAATGAAGGCTTGACAAACGGTTGGGTGTTCAGGAATGGTGGTCGAGAGAGACAGTATATATCAATTTTCAATGCCACTGGCCAAAAGTCATAAACAGCATAAAAAATTTCTTAAACGCACGAAGCGATTTACAAACTCCAATCTCGTGCATAGCATGGCGCGTTGAGATCGTCCTATCAAACCTATATTTTGGGTTTGAATCATATACTTACAAGCCAATAAATATATATATATATTCTTTTGAAATCAATTACTATGAATTTCATTCACCCATGAACGATTACAAGGAGGTTTAAAAAGAAAATGATGTAACCACCAATGAATGTTGGTTGACACCACCATTTGCTAAAGCATCAGCTCTCGTATTAGCCTCCCTAAAACAATGAGATAACTCAAAAGAACCACTACTTAAAATGAAAAACTTTTATCGTAAATGCTACATAATCTCCAATGTGGCTTCATTTATTCTTTTGCCCGAACAATGACATTGCTTGAATCACCTTCAATCGTCTTTTGGCCTTTGAGGTTCTTTATTATCTTTAATCCCTCTAAAAGAGCTCTTGCCTCAGGTTCATTGACTGTTGTAAGTCCACATGGTCCAGAGTAGGTGAATTTGTAATTACCCATATAATCTCTAATGGTACCACCATAACCTGCTGGAGGCATCCAAATAGCATTACGAGTGTCTGTCACTATTAAGTTTAGCAAGATCAGATGGGTTCTCAAAAATATGAGATTTTGGGATAAACTAACAATCTTTGTTTGTTAAAAACCATTAAGCTACTGTTGCTAAGGCGTTGGACTTTAAAACTTCAATCTCACTTTTTGTCCTTTCAAATGTTTTTTTATTTCTATCTCTTTCCAAATATTCCAAATAGTGCTCACCCAGAAAGCTTTCCATAATACGGTGCCAATTTTCGACAAACCAAATTCATCCATTGAGAGACGCTCAACCCTGGGCTTTGTGGGATTAGGATATTTAGATTCAACAACTTTTTATACCAATCCCACATAGCCTACAAACATTGACAATTATGAAACCTCTCTTACGAAGGTTATCCACAGTAGGCAACATTTTTTGAAGAGCTACCCACAAAAATAATTGAACCTTCAGCGGCACCTGTAAATTCCATGTTCTTGCTAAACTATGATCAGTCGCTCTGTGATTATCCTCATGCAACAGTCAATAAACAGACTTAACTGAAAAATCCCCTGAAGCTGTGAGTTCCCACACCAATCGATTATCTTTATTGGGAATTTAGAAAAAATTATGCAACAAATTCGTAAGCAATTGGAACACATGAAAGAAAGACCCTCCTGTACTGTAAATAATATTCCAAGAAGAGTTAGTAAAATCAGCTCCTCTGATATCTTTTACTCAGGCTAATTGATTGTCGACTTTGGAGAAGACCTCAAGGAAAGAATATCGAAGAGTAAGGTCACCCAGCCATATATCAAACCAGAAGAAGGTTTGATCTCCCTTTCCCACCACTTTGTGACAATGACTAATATATAATGATCGACATGCATCAATTCCTTTCCAAGTACTTGAAAAACCAACCTTAGATATTGGACTTTTAATGAGGCTAGTTGTTATACGTCATTTTTTATGTATTTGTATTCCCGAAGAGCATAAGGAGAGAGCCAGTAATAATCTGGTCCTGCCGGTTCCTAAGACACCGCCAGATCATGGGAACGCTACAAAATAAGCCTAAAACTGGGCAACATCTAAAACAGTACTGGAATGGCTTCAAAAGGCATGAAAATGGTAGTTTGGGATTCCCAAATGACACTCACAAAGTTTCATCATATTCCGATAAATTTTGATATGATTAGGATGAAACTCGATTCTCAAATCCACCTCTCATGCTAAAAAGGTACCTTATAACTACAACCCCATTTTTGGAGTTTCAAACTAGTACCGAACTGCTGCCATCAGATTTGAAGCATCAAAAAACTTTCAAGGACCAAATTTGGGCTTAATTGGACATTTCAAGACTATTCTGGGCCCAAATTACTATAAACAGTTAGGTTTCACACTATTATGGTGCAGCCATGGTGAAATAGTTGTCATTTCTGAAAACTACGTTTTCACCCCTCAGGATGATTTTCAAGTACTCATAGCTCACTAGTTTCGAATTAGAATAAGCTGCAATTCGGACACAAGCTACGTCTCGACGACTCGATCATTTTGATATATGGCACGTGTTATGGCATGGCACGAGACAAGAAATTT